ATTAGATAAATTGCAAAAAATAGGCATATAACTTGTGCTGTATAGCATTAACATGTTATATTTATGCTCTTGGTAGGGGAAATATTTATGTACTCTATTTTGGATTTTTTAAAATACAGAATTATAAGTATATTGTGACATTGCCAAGCAGCAATACCCAGCTGTTTGTATCACTTCTGGATTTTGTATAAATCATTCATTTTCCAAACCCACTTCTTCTATGCCACATCATGATGGTCCAGAGCTCATCCCTGAACCAATGAGCACAAGGCAGGGAATAACCCAGGATGTCATGCAGAGAATCTGCAAACTCAGCCAAGGTGGAGATCCTGGTCTCCCTGCGGCCCTTGGACCAACCTTACTCTGTTCAAACAAACAGGGATGCTGTTTTTCTAATAATTAAACTATGTTGTTATATGTGATTATGAAATTATTCTAAAATCAGACAAAAATGACAGATTTTTCCTTACAAACCAAATAATTGTCCATGTACTATAGTTTAAGAAGAACTGATGTAGCCAGTGAGTACCTGACATTTCCGCTTCCTGTCCCCTGATCAGAAATGGGCTCAGTCCCTCCCCCTCACAGCTGCCCCAGTCCAGCCTGTTTTAAACCCTGAAACTAAACTCTCAGCCGTTGGAGCGAAACTCATATTTGCATAAACTGAGCAGGACGGTTCTGCTGCCCCCAGAATAGAGCAGGCAAATGTCGCCCAGTCCCCCTGGGGTTAGAGTGAGGTGGGGGCTCAGCCCATGTCACAGAGCAACAGATTGTCTCACATGATCGCAGACTGTCTTCATTGGGGTTTAGTTAACAGTTTCACATATTTTAGCTACAAAGTGACAAAAACATATTCCTATTGCAAATAATTACGATATTTAAAATGAAGTTAATTAGATTTGTTTTCTGTTTTATGAAGAATGAGCTTATGATGTGATTTATAAACTCAGTATAGTGGAACTGCTCAGTATTAACCTTTTCAAACATAAATTAAAAGTCCCTCAATATATTTACTTTACTTTCCACATAATGCAGAAGATAAAGTTTTTGTGTTTCTGATACAAGAGTTATATTCAGACTTAAAAAATCTTGATTGAAAGGTTCAAGATCATTTTCTGTGTCATGATGGTATCACTGTGTGCATGTTTAAATAACCAGTTATGATGATGGTCAGTTTATCAGACAAGATTTAATCTTTATTTCTGCAGCATTCAGGAATAAAACACAAGATAATAAAAGGAGACACAAAAACTAATCAAATATCAGTAAAGATATTCACTCATGGATCAAGAAAAGCACAATACATATTCAGTTAGTAAATTTGAAGCATGTAGCACAGCACAGTAAAAACATAGTAATCAGCCGCTCATCACAGGTGACGCTGAGCTCATCTACTCTGAACAGTCGGCCCTCTTCAGCGTTTGAGTGACAGCAGCCTGGGAGCCCTGATTGGCCTCACAGACCACTGAGCCCGCCTTCTTCCACTCGTCCGCAGTGAGGCTCAGGCTGCTGCTCCAGCTGTA